TATATATATTCCTTTCCAGGGGCCATGTATTGAAAAGTCACCGCATCTCCGCTCCTCAGCTGCTGTAAGTATTCAACTCTTGGATGAGTTTAATCTTTGCTCCCCCCTCCAGCCGCTGTGGTTCCTCCCCGCCAGCTTCTAATGTCTATGTACATATGAGCTGGCTGGGGGTGAGCAAGTATTCTGCAATCGGGGAAGTGTAGACTACCTGCAGCAGTTGTGGAGCAAAGATGCAGCGGCTTTTCAATACATGGGCCACTGGAAAAAAGGTGCTGAGGGGTGCAGGAAGGTGAAAAGATCTGCATGTATAGTTTTTATTAGTGGGTGAGAACTGCATACGTTAGACCCGTGCCGCCTCATTTAATGCCGCTTTCTAGCTTCAAGATTTTCGAAATCTTTCTGCAGGCCTATGTTATAGCTTAGCGAATTGCATTTCCTTTCTCTTCAGTAAAATAAGACCCATATTAGCAGTCTCATGTCAGCGATTGATCTGGAAAGATTCTTACGTTTTCTGTTAAAAAGCCTTCTTGCCAGGCTCAAGATTGTGTGTCTGATATCTGTGTATACAATCCGATCCAAAGGGTTTGTGTAATACAGGTCACACAGAGGTCACACACTCTTCCTCTGGAAATCCTTGGGTTTTATGTCACATAAAAGTCAGGACTACAATTACTGCTGCTTTTATCATGAGAAATTGTTTTGAGGTTTTATTTTTTGAAGCTTAATCTTTCTTTCTGTCTCTGCGCAGCTCATATGGAAGCGTGTTTAAAGCCATTCACAAAGAGTCAGGCCAGGTCGTCGCAATCAAGCAAGTTCCTGTGGAATCAGACCTTCAAGAAATTATTAAGGAAATCTCTATTATGCAGCAATGTGACAGGTAAGCACATTTTTGGGGCTTGCTGTGTGCTATATTTTGGTGATGATGGCTAGTTTGTGTATGTCATATTTGCCGTGTTGGCTTCCCTGCCATACAGAAGCTTTGGCTACTGTCTTGTAATGTGCTGAGCAGTGCATTGCTGAAACCGCTGTACCGTGTATAGCTGGACTCTGTGGTTACTGACAAGATTCCTTCTGGATGATACTGAACTTTGCACTGCTTTGTGCAAACTCCTGCAGATAGCATAATTCAGAAATACTTTTTCAGTAAACTCTAAGAAGAGACAGTATAATTTTATAAACAAACATAAACCGATCTCTAAAATATATAGGCCAAAACCAGTCATGGTGTACAGAACAATCTCAGAATCTTAGCACTTCGCTTAACTAACAGGACTGGTACATAAACGTGTGTGTTGTGTGTAAGCATGCACTGTGTGGGGAGAGGGAATGGTTTTCAAACACACTGGGGGGGGGGGGTGGTATTGAAGGTGAAGTGGTGGGGGGGGGGTACAGGTGCAATTTTGGGGTGCAAGTGTAGTGGATGGTAAGAGAAGAGGGAGGTATAGTTGTGGTCAAAGGTCAAACCTGAGAGAATGGAGCTACAGGCTTTGTGGGTAGTGAGAGAAGGATGTTGCAGACATTGTCAGTGGCGTATTGGTTAGTCCTTCTGCCTTGCAGCACTGGGGGGTCTCTGGTTAGAATCCTGGCCAAGTCACTATCTGTGCGCAGTTTGCATGTTCTCCCTGTGCTTGCATGGTTTTCTTCCGGTTTCCTCACACATTCCAAAGACATGCTGGAAGGTAATTGGCTCCTGTGTGAATGGGAGATAGGGACCTTAGATTATAAGCTCCTTGAGGGCAGGGACCGATGCTAATGTGAAACTATGTAAAGCTCTGTAAATTGTCGGTGCTATATAAATACCAATAATAATAATAATAATAATAATAATTAAATGGTGGTTAGTGAGAGAAGAGGAGTGCAGGCATGGTGGGTGCTGAGAGTAGAGGAACTGCCGGTGTTGCGGGACGGGTGCAGACTTGCTGGTTGCTGCAGGTGTGATGGGAGTTGAGAGAATGGCAGCTGCAGATGTGGCGCAGTGGGTTTTGAGATAATCGGGGCATGGTGGGTGGTAAAAAAAAGTCCAATGTAGTGGATACTGAGAGAAGAGGGTTGCAGGCATGGGGGATGTTAGACATGGTGGGTGATCTAATGATTATTGTATAATTTTATTATGAACCTAAAATTTGGATTTCAACATGAAACTAAGGGGGAAACAAAACCACCATTGTGCTACCTGTATACCTAATGAGCTTGGAGCGGTGACTACTTTATAACACACACAGGGACCATGGGGAACAAAAGTAGCCACCCTCCAGAGGGAAGGGCAGTGTCGGCACCAATTCAGAGATGATTTGAGGATCTACAGCCGAGTGATACACAAATAAGATACATTTTTGTTAATAGTTAGGGTACTTGAATGCATTTTTAAGGTGTAACTCCTGAGTTTAGTTTCACTTTAAAGATAAAAGTAATTTTGTGAATTATCTTTAAGGGCCCATTCACGCCAATTGCTGGAACGCACAGCAATCGCTCACTAAACTTCCCCCTGCGTTTTCTAGGGAGGGGAATGGAATCAATGGCACAGCAGCCACGCCCCCTCCCGCAGTGCGATCGGACACATGGCATAACATTGCCTGCGTCCGCTCCACTGCGTATGCAAAAATTGCTGCATGCTCTATTTTTTTGCGTTTGCAGTGGACTGCAATGTTTTACCATGTGTCCGATTGCACTGCGGGCGGTGGGGCGCATGGCTGTTGTGCCATTGACTTGAATGCACCGCCACACCCCCTCCCACCCCAGAACGTTAGGGGAAGTTTAGTGAGCGATTGCTGTGTGTTCCAACAGCTGCCGCTCTGGAACGCACTGCAATTGGTGTGAATGCGCCATAAGAACTGATAACTATGCGCTCTGCATGCTAATTTTACCTTTTTTCTCCTTCTCTTTTTGCAGCCACTATGTAGTCAAGTACTATGGCAGCTATTTTAAAAATACGGACCTGTGGATAGTTATGGAATATTGTGGAGCTGGCTCTGTCTCAGACATTATAAGACTGCGGAATAAAACGGTAAGTAAATGAGTGGCTGAGACCCTCATAGTAGGAATATTCATTCCTAAAACTGCAAACTGTTTAAGCAGATATACATCTTTATTTATATTTAAAGTGTCTTGTTACCCCCTGCTGCAACTAATTGGGCCAGGAGGGGTGTGTGTCAGTGACAGTTTTGCTCGGGTTTGGGTGAACTTTGTTTGCACCAGGCCGCTCACATCACCAGTCAGTAGGTGGCAACTTAGCAGCTACAGTTTGTACATGCCACCTCTGATGATTTTTTTTTTTTTAAAGTAGAATTTTAGAAATTGCACCATTCCCTTTTAGTTCTATGGTGTCTCTGGAGTTTAGCTATAATAATTCATTATATCTGTATTGACTCCACAATCTAGGTCTATTTTGGGCATGCTCAGTTTTAATGAGACATCTACACAATGTTTTTAGAAAGGATGGTTATGTAAAATCATACTCCCCTCTGTGCTTCCATGCCCAGCTTGCTGTCTTACAATCTTAATCCATATAGTTTTGGTTAAGGTCACTGGGTATGTGCCTTCTGAGAGAATTCATTGTGAGTCTCTGAGCCCACTTAGGTGTTCCTTAGAAAAAAAGAGAATGCAGCCATTTCTGTAGGTCATTTCCTATACACTGTGTATTGGTTGTGAGGACGCAAAGGGACGTAATATCGCTGGAGAGGAGTGTTGTAATAGCCAGCCGGCTGCGAGGTGTGGGTGAGTATAATGTTGTTTCCGCACCTAGAAAGTGATCCTGATTCTCTTTGCTTCCAAACATAGAAGTAAATTATGAATTGTGTTTTGAATGTGGACTTTTTGTCCCTTTTGCTGAGGTTTTCAATATGGCTCATTTATGCTGTAAAAGAAACCTGTATTGGGAGAATTTACGTAGGCTTCCATCTCTGACCTCTTTCTGAAAATGTGTTGCCTGGTGGTCGCTGGCTCTCTGGGAATAGTTTCTAAATGAATTTCCTGGAATAAGCGTGCAGCAAGCTGGGGGTCAGAGTAAAGTCAGAACTGGTAACCGGCACACTTGTTCCGGGTCAGTTGCTCAGTACCATGGACAGTGGCAGGACAATCATCGTCTATAGCAGAGATATGCATGACATATGAAACTCAAGATGGAATGGAGTTCTTTTGATGATGCACTTTATGAACTAATATTCCAATTATATTCGTTCTAAATGATTTTAGTGCATATTGCATGAATTTTATTGCAACTTGTAAACATGTTTGTCAATAGAAAAATAAGGTAAGAAATTGAAGCCTTTGTGAGCTATAAAACATTTTGGGGCCCCATACAAGTGATTTCCTACACTATCCAGAGTCAACAGTAATAGTCTCTTACATTAGTGGTTAAAAGAGAACTATAGGGTAAGTGTTTTTCCCCATAGTTCTCTTTAGGGTCACGGGAGGACATATACAAACCTCATCCCGTGACCCACAGCTCAGTATATAGCAGGCTACAGCTCGCGGTATACTGAGACCGCCGCAGGCGGGACGGATCCCGACAATGCTGTTGAGAGCCACCCAGCTGTGTGAGTGACAGCTCCCTCTGCCTATCTAGAGGCAGAGCCAGCTGTGCCCGCCTCCTACCCCGTCCGTTCCTCCACTGAGCGCTGGAGGATTGGAGCGGGGAGGGGGGAATCCCTGCCGGGAGCGATAACTGACAGTCACGGCTCTCTGCAGGGAGATGATCAGGAAGCGAGCTATCGGAATCCTGATCTATTGCGACGACGTGTGACCGTTTCATTGTTGCACGTCGGCTCGAACTATGAGGATGAGGGATATTCACTCACCTCATAGTTCTCCTTTTAATTTAACAACATTACTTGAGAAAATTGTGGCCAGGGTCTAGTTGGTTGATGGGGAAAAAAAGTTTCTTCCGATTCCCTTATTAAGCGTGGCAATCTTGTCCTAACCGCTCCAGAGTCCTGTGTTCAGTTTCCACCAAGGACGCTATCTACATGAAGGACAGAAAGATGACGTAAAGTGTTTTTTGTGCCAGCTCATATTAAAACCAGTAAAAGAACATGGCATCAGAGAGATGTGTTATGGGAAGAAAATGTGCATTTTAGTTTTGAATAGACAGGGGAGGGGGTAAAACATGTCAGGTTTTTTATTGCTGCCTGTATACATGTTCTGAGGGTTTTACCTCCCATTTTGTACTGGTGACCACATAGGAAATGAAAGAAATCTTCTCAACGAGGACACGGTAAAAAATGCATTAAAAAGCAGGATTCTACGAAGTATTCGCAATACAACATTGATAAAAAACAGCAATGGCTTTACTGCAAGAAATAATGTGAGATGAACTATTTCGGGAAATTGTCTATTGCTTGTAATTCAGTTGCAGTGATTCTTGCAGATCAGTTGGCCTGATAACAATGCCCAATGCTGTACAGAGCAACAAAACTAACCATACAAGAAATGGTCAGATCATGATTTTATTAGCCAACTTGTTTTGTGGGAATACCGAATACCACAGGGTTAAAACAACATTTGTTGAAGATCTCTACTAATATAACATGCATTGGGAGCAAGACACCTGTCAATGACATCATTTCCCATAAGTGACTGCCTGTGATGTAGTTATTATATCAGTGTTTTCCCAATATTAAAAGACGGATATTCATGTTCTAATATATTCTGTTATCTGTAGTATCTAGACACACTCGGATCATCCCTGCAGCTTCTGTGCTCACTCACTGTAGTGTCCTACCCCCATGTGAACCTACTTCCTATTTCCTGTGAGGGCTTGGTGTATAACAGAGCTTCGATCTTTATCAGACCTCACAGCAAGTGTCTCAATTCTTCTTATGCACTGCAAAGAGAGCTTGCTGCTTCTCAGTTCACTGCTGGAGGATTCAGCAATGAGATCTTCAAGTTTGTCTAAAGCAAAAATCTTTTTTTGTTTTGGAGTATAGAAGACATTGAGAAATGAGATTTTGCGTAGAGAAGGTTTACATTGTCAGGTTTTAATTGTTCTGTGTCCTCACTTAAAGGAGAACTATGAGATGAGTGATTTCCACTCGCCTCATAGTTCTAGCCGACCTGTGACAATGAGACTGTCACAGGTCGGCTCAGTAGATCGGGAGGTGAGCGAACACATACCGGCGTTCGCTCACCTCTCGGTCCTGTCACGGCTTTCTGCCGTGACAGGGGGAGAGGCTGGATTACCCTCTCCCCGCTCCGATCTGCCAGCGCTGACTGGCGGAACGGACGGGGGAGGGGGCGGGTACAGCTGGCTCTGCCTCTAGATAGGCAGAGCCAGCTGTCACTCACGCAGCTGGGCGGATCCCGTCATCTAAGTCGGGATCCGCTCCGGCTGCGGCGTCTCAGTATACCGCGAGCTGTAGCTCGCGGTATACTGAGCTTAGGGTAACGGGAGGACGCTAGCTTGTGTCCTCCCGTTACCCTAAGGAGAACTATGGGGAAAAACACTGACCCCATAGTTCTCCTTTTAAGAGATTCACTCTCTCTCTTTTTCACAAGGACTGAAATTAAGGGAAAATCTCTAAAATGTTGAGTTGTTACCAGAACAGTAATAAAAGACATCTTTTAATGGGAACGCTTGTTACAATGACAACTCTCTTGCTTACTGTTGTGTTTCAGGACAGGAACTGAAGGAAATATTACAGTGGGGCACAGATGGTTAATTCAAAGTCTGGCAGGGATTTTAATAACTTCCTACTCTATACAAAATGAAAAAAATATGTTTGGGATGTTTAGATGTACTTAAAGCAGGAAAGCGACAGATTTGCAGGAGCCTTTTTCATGAGGAGTTTTGATCTTGTGACAAGTAAATTGTGACTGCCCTCTCCCATCCTGGTCCAAGATCAGCTTCCTCTTGCTTTTCCCCATGGTTCACAATCAACTTCTGTATTGCTGTTGTGAAAAAGTTGATCCAGTGTTTTTATTGACATTGTTTACATATATGTTATGGATACATATGTTCTAACCCTGAAATTGTTGCTATTCCTGTAAAATGTGTTGGGTCATAATACGAGGTTTTGCTAGTTTTTCCCTTTTTTTTTTGTAATCCTTTTCTCCATGTGTTTTAGTTATCCCCTCCCCAAGACATACTGACTTTTCACCTATACTGCTTCCACTCTATGGAATACTATGGGTGTGTACATTTATTACAGCTATTTATTCATATAGCACCAACAATTTATGCAGCGCTTTACATAGTTGCACATTCACATCAGGACCTCCCTCAAGGCGCTTACAATCTAAAGTCCCTATCTCACATACATACATACATACATACATACATACATACATACATACAGGGCCGATTTATACTGGAGCCAATTAACCTTCCAGCATGTCTGTGGAGTACAGGGAGAATATGCAGGTAGTGTCCTGACTGGGATTTGACCTAGGGGATCCTCAGTGCTGCAAGGCGGAAGTGCTAAACACTAAGCCACTGTGCTGCCAACCACATGACTGTGGTCAATATATTGCAGTGTTAGTCTTTTAGGCCCCTTTTAACGTGGTGAGTCTGATTGGTTTCATCTGTCAGTTTTTCAGGCAGACACTATTGGATGCCCAATGTTAGTCTATGGGCAAACAGGTCTGCACGGATGTGCGTCTGTTTATCCCGACTCCGGCTAGGCCTGGAAAAACAAATGAAACAGAGTTCTGATTGTGCTGGATTGGGGGGTAATCCGATATAAATGGACACGTCTGTTTACACCCGAATCCACATAAACCCACATGGGGTCCGTCAGTTTTAGTTCTTTCCTCCATCTCAAGATGGAGGAAAAGACTGGATGGACACGGATGTCACAGGGATGACATCTGATCCGTACTGCTCTGATCACACGGGCTGCACGGATCAGCCCTCGTGAAAGAGGCCTTAGGGCCCATTCTCCCACAATCGGGCGGGAGGGGGCATGTGGCGGTGCATTGAAGTCAAGGGCACCACAACCACGCCCCCCGCCCGCAGTGCGATTGTAAAGCAAAACATTGCTTGCGTTGCGTTCCACTGCAAACGCAAAA